GCTTCTCTTTCAATATTTTTATTTTTTATTTTCAGGTGAGACGATAGAAAAAGGGACAACACAACAAAACATAATAAAACCCACAAAACAAAAACAGACAAACAGCAACAGTAGCAACCTAGTACTCATGTGTTTTACACCCCATAGTTATAACCCTTGACCATTCTTCCTTCATGTACGGTGCAATTGGGGACCAGGGAAATTAGCTTCTAATGTACCTCTGAATTCCTCATGAATTTGAGAAATATTGAAGAGTTTAAGAAGTCTTGTGTTGTAAAAGGCAAATACAGCCTGTCCGTTTTCATGTAGTGTTTCAGCAAAACCGTTAAACTCGATTTGATATCCATCCCATGCTCCAGCACTTCCTCAAAAGTGCATGACAAGGGAAAGACAGGGTGATGATGCAAGAATAAAAGGAAGTTGAGTGCAGATGAGCTCTGTCTATCAACAGGCTTAAATTAGTCTGAGAGCTGTCCCTTGGCACTCTTTATCTGACATTTGGTGAAGTATTATATCCAAAGCTTCTTACTGTAACAGAAGGTCTTACATCTGAAGCTCAAGTGGGCATTTAACCCCTAAACCTGGCAGTGTTTGTGGAAGGCTGCTAGTCTAATAGCTCACAATTGGATTGGATGTTAAACAAAGAAGCCTGCAGGCACTGTTTTGCATCTTCCACATGCATGCTATCAATGCAGACGTGGGAAGTAACGCAGTAGAAATACGTTACTGTACTTAAGTGGATTTTTCAGGTATCTTTACTTTACTTAAGTATTTATTTTTCTGACAACTTTTTACTTTGACTCCCTACATTTTAACACAAATATCTGTACTTTTTACTTCTTATATTTTCAAAACAGGCTCGTTACTTTAGTTTTAATGCATGTGAGGTGAATTAAGTTTCAAATGATTTGTGGCGAATGCACTATAATCATTTTTGTTTGATTTGTTTAAGCCTATATTTAAGCAAAGTAACCCATCTGCAATGTTGGCGACAGCAAATACAGGTACTTTGTTTTAGTTGTTCACGCTGAATACATTCAGAATGGCAGTAATAAAAGTTGAAATGAAGCTCCTTTTCACTTATATAAATATTATATTATATTAATATGATGTAAGGTTCAGTTAGCTTTGCACAAAAACAGCCAGTTTAAAAGTTACTTTTTACTGTGAGTACATTTCAGAGACTGTACTTTTGTACTTTTACTTAAAGTGCACCTATCATGCTATTTTCAGGCAATAGCATAGGTCTCAGATATATAAAAATATATTAAAAACATCTATCAAGTGTTTTGCTCAAAATACCAAACAGATCACCCATTCTAGCCATGCCTCATATCCCTCTATTTCACTTCCTGTTTCAAAAGTGCTGATTTTGCAAAAATGCGATAGAAAATTAAAAAGGGAGGGGTCTGAGCTCATGCGGGACCCGGCAGCTACTGTCTAAACTAAATACTGCCGTGATGAAACGCCATATCATGGATTATCAAGGATTGTTTCTGAAACAGTATGGAGCTCAAAGGCTTTCTCTCTTGCCGGTTATACCACAAGGTGAGTTCCTTTTTATTTCCTGCTTCTTCACACACATGCTCTCCAGTACAGGTTAGCTCTGAGTGTTAGCGATGCTAATGTAAACACCGACCATATTACGTCCAAAACAGTCGGGCATTGTTTCTGATAGCAACTTTCTGATAGGGCCGTGGGTCCACATTTCAGATATTACGTCATATCGGACGCAAATCTGGATCAGCTCCGTTGTAGCCCCGTTTTTAGAGATTTGGGTACGGAGGAAAAGAGAGAGGGATTTATTTTCTGACGCTGCGTGAGTTCCCTGACACACCGGGGACACATGTTTATGGATAAAAGACATCACAAAGTGCATTTTGCATGATAGGTCCGCTTTAAGTAAAAAGTTGAATCAGTACTTCTACTTTTATCAAAGTGTTCTTTTACACAAGTATCTGTACTTCTACTTAAGTAAAGAGAGTGTGTACTTTTGCCACCTCTGTATCTATGAAAAAAATGGCACGCAGCAAGCGAAAGGTATCCAGGCCAGGTTGTCCTTGTAGTGTGTATTAGAGAGTGTATTCCTGCATATTTGAGGTACAAACACCCTCCTGTCTGTTGTCATCATGAAGCCGTGGTGTTGGATGACACCTCAGGTCTATATTGGGCTTCTGTCTCTCTCTACAGGTGTATCCATGTCCTTGACTTCAGTTCTCTATGCTCAGCAATTCAATAACAGTGTCATGAAGAAGCAGCCCCAAGTCTCTGTTGTCCCTTTAACACGGAAATGCATTTGACATTCTTTGAGTTAATTAATGACCAATGGGAGGTTTTTGACCCAGAAAGACTGCACCATGGGGCCATAAAACACTGATGCAATGTACATTGCCTGTTGTGTACATTGAGTTCAAACAATGTGACCTGGTTTATTTTAAGTAGCTGCATACTGTACATTTCAGCAGCTACTAGCTTGTACTTTCTTCCCATAATTTAGCAAGAATGTGCTCTTTTTCAGCAGCACATGTTAACATATAAACCCTTGATGTGTACAACCAAAATACATGTATTCCCTAATCGGAGTTTGAAGTTGAAATATTATTTGTTTATTTGTTCTTCTCTATCTATAATTGGGTGGGTTTCCCGTCTCTGGACCGCCCTTTTATGGGTATGATTTGCAGGAAAGGCATGATAAGTTAAAAAAAAGCATGTTTCTGGGCAAGAGCAGCAAGTGCTGAACATATCTATTATAAACTTTGTGTTCCAATATTGATGCCACTTTGTTGATAAGATTAGCAGGCAGGCATCTATAAGTGTCATCATTACCCTGTAAATGTTTAAAAGGGCAATACTTTGCTGCAAAAGTGCACGTAGATCATGGTTGTAAGGTGGAGTAACTCACTTGGATTATGCATAAAACAATGTTATTTCCTGGAGCATTTCGGTTTTGAAATACTTCATAATCTAACTGAAGAACTTTGACCACCTAATCATGCTTTAGTAGTTTAAAGAGATGTGACCTTTGGACAGGAGGAGTCAGATGCTCCTACAGGAAGCCTCAGAGGGAGTGGTGCTGACACGAGAGATTAGGTTGATGCCATCATGGTCATTAACCTCTCATCTACCCACTGTTTCATCTATGGTCTATTTGATCTGGAGGGTTTTGAAAAAGTTGAGGATTTTAAGCCTTTTAGAGGATGGTGTCAAAGACGGTACAGAAGTACAGACATGTTTTATTTGAAGAAACACTTGAATACTTACCTACATTTGGATCATTTTTGTTATGCTTGGTTATAAGGCTTGGCTTACTCGTGTATCTACAATTCTAAAAGTTGAAATTCACCATATTAACGATTTCCTGGGGACTTATTAACCTATAGTAGTTCTGTGGAGCTGATCTTGAGTAGTTCCAGGTTTGATTAACTTGTGCATGGAGATGCATTTCAACCCTTGGTTTTATATGTTTCCACTGATCGTCAGAGGACTGTGAAAAGCTAAGATGTATAGCAGTGTGCCAGGAACGGCAGGAAAGATGGCTGAATGTAAACAATGTTGTAATACTTAAAATAATCTGCTTTGCAAGAGTATTATGAGGAGGCAATACATGTGTTGGACTTAAAAGAAGAACAATGCACATAGAAAACTTGTTTATTTAGACGAAAACTCCACCGGGTGCTTTACTTTTTGTAAGAATACAATCAAATCTGATACAGAGACACCTCATCCAAATAACCAGACTCAGTGAAGCTTCTCCTGTCGCTTATATTGGACCCAAAATGGTGTTTACTTCACTGGGACATTACCATTGGATGCACCTCTATCCTTATTGATTCATGTCTGATTCCCACTGAGAGAAGAAGGCAACATGATGACCCATGTCTCAAGGGACACATTAACAGACAGAGCTGCAGGAAAAGTCTTTATCACTTTAGTCACGGTCTGCCCTGTAACTGTGGTTGTGTTGCAGCTATTGATCGGAGAGGGTGTAGTCGGATTAATGAGTTGTGAAGCTAATCCTGTTCATCCTCCCATTCACGCCGCAGTCACATGGCTATAATGGCTTAATTTGATAGCCAAGTGGAAGCCATAACCGGTCCATTCACAACCCTGACTTGGCGTTTCACCATTTCTATTTCAGCATTGAGGGCCTTTTTGTCTCTGGATTTATCGGTTGATTTGTAACGGCCGTGCACTTGAACGTGGCGGCTGCTTTGGGGCCATTCTACTGCAAGAAAATGCAGTTTTTTAAAGCAGTTCAAAGGCAGTTTCTGGCATAATGGAGACTCTTAAGGAGCTCGACTGAAGGCTGGCTGCACCCAGTGTTTTAGCCAGAGTTAATGGGTTGTGTAATCTCTATAAGCAGGTGTCGGGTGGCCGTGGGGTGAGTTTACGGGATGTCATTTCTCAAGGTTCTTCTGTTACCAGAGAGAGAAACAGTTTGGTTTGGATACAAGGTGCTTTCACTGAATTATATGGACAATGTGCAGGTTTTTATTTATATACCTTGAAGAAAACAGATTGCAGATAAGAAGACTATATGCTTAAACGTGAGATTTAGGGGAGGCAATTATAGTCTTTTGATAATTGGACTCACAAAAAATATCCGTTTCACACCCATTTCCTTCTTAACCCTTATGTTGTGTTCGGGTCTCCCGTGACCCGTTTCAAGGTATAATTATATTATAACTACCCTCTAGTTTTTTTTTATTGGAACTATAGTTAATAATATAAAGTTGTAAAAACGTTTTGGGGGGGGGGGAAATTGTATTCTAATATTAGTCTATTACAGTAAGATACCATCATTATCCACTGTCTTCACTATAGGGGATATAATAAGTGAATTTAATCCCAGTTTCTATTTAGAAATATGTGTTTTGGGGCCATGTATAATAAAATGACAACAGGATTGTGAGGTTGTGAATACATAATAAGTTAGTCATGATGTAGTTAAAACAATATGGAATGATAGTCATTATGTTTGAGTGTTTTGGACTGAGATAAATCATGAGAACACCATGAACGGAAACAGCGTTCGACCACAACACAAGGGTTAAGTAAACCCAATCTAACTATAAATATCTAAAGGGTGCGATTTTTCTGTTTTCTCTATCTTCTCCAGTTTGACCATTGTAGCAGACACAACCTGACACTGTAATTTCACCTTTATAAATCCAGGTATTATCCTCAGCCCCCAAAATGTCTTGTTCCAGTAAATTGCCTGTGTCCCTCTGAGAAAATACTGCTGCTTTTTGTGACCCAGGAATCAGTGAATTGTCATTTCTGTATTTTCCAGTCCTGAGAAAGGTTGTGGTTATTTTAGAAAACCCCCTGTGTACTTCCTGAATTATTTTCTGCTGCCCAAGAGCAACTGTCACTCTCCCATAGTATGGTTAACAGATATCAAACTGGCTTTAAGAAATGTTTTTTATGTCAACGAAAGATCAAGTGACTCTTTTGAAATAGTGTCTTGTAGTGTTGAAGACGAGAAAGTCTGCAGCTAGTCTTTATTAGGTCATTGTTTTACTGTGGTTTGATAACTGTCCAGTTGAATCTCGCCTCTAATCAGACCCTAAGATATATACAACAGTGGATTGATCCAAACAAGCTAAGACGTGCTAAAAGCATGCTAGCTGTTTAGCACAACATGACAAAATAAGTGCCAAACACTGTGGATAAAAGCTCAGTTAATATAAAGATAAACATACATTTTCTCTGAAGTATGTAGTTATTATTGGACGTACATTCATCAGGTGGCCAGAAATTCAATCCAAAGCAATTGTTTGTGCACACCTTAGCTTTCTATATTAGCCACATTAGCTCGGTTGCTTGTGTTTTCTGTGGGTCAGGGTTTCCCTGAGGCTAAGAAAATCGTGGATTATTAAAAGCACTATCAGTCATATATAATCAACCAATGCATCAGTCGAGTTTTGCAGTTTTAAATTACACTATAGACCAAAATATAAAGGCTATAACTTCGAAATGTAGCTTTTCAATTCAGAAAACGGGTGTGTTAAATAGTTTCATGTTTATGTAAAGTATTTTTTGAATCAACCACAAAGCAGTCAAGAATATATACAGTAAAGTATTTTTCCCCACTACTTTGCTCTTTTTGCATATATATATATATAGAGAGAACACAATGGGACCCTTTTAACAACATATCAGCTTCATTACACAAGCTCTCAGTTACCCTCCTCAGATGCCAGGACATGTTTTAACTAACCCTAACCCTAACCCTACTTCAGATAGGCTAACTAGCTTAGCTTCACACCCACACTAAAGTGAAGTTTTGGAAGTATGTGTTTATGTTAAAGGCCCCTCCAGGAATCCAAAGCTAGCAGTGGAGCAATCCCATCCTGTGATGATGCATTATTCTGAATCAGCTTCCTCTTTGTGTAACTTTAATATCTGAATCATATCGCAACAACCCAGAAACAAAGTGACCAAATGTGTGGGTCTTGGTTTGGAAAAGGATCTGGTTAATGGTTTTGGGAAAGTAACATAAAACCAGTTGTAATTGGTAAATTATAAGTTGTTTATTGAGAGAGTTCAATAAGATTGGCAACAAGCAGCCACAATCAAAACAAAAGGGTCACAAAGGCACCGGTTTAAATAAACAAACGAAGGAACTAAGGGAGACTCTCAGACCCCATTTACACGGGAGCACAAACGCAAACGGACCAAATTCGTTCTCAAAAAAGTATTCCGTTCACATGCAGTCGGCTCATTTAACGTGTCCGTTCACACGAGACCACTGGAAACGCTGTAGTACATATGCCGGGCCTGTAAGTGGCGTAGTAACTTCCGCCACAAAATACACCAAAAGCAGCGAAGAAGACCCCCAAGCATGGTTGCCATGGTTGCCCTTCTGTTTATGCCCCGCGGTAGATTTAGCAACATGTAGTTTATGTAATTCTCCATGTCCACTTGTTGCTGATGGTTGTGGTAGAGGAGCTGTAGATTTTGCACTAACATCTGTAGCATGGTCATTACATTACATTACATGTTAGACGCTTTATCCAAAGCGACTTACATACTCAATACTGTGGGCAATCCCCACAGGAGCAATTTGGGGTGAAGTGTCTCAGGGACACAACGACATGCTGACTGCAGTAGGGTTCGAACCTGTGCTCCCCTGATCCGAACACCAGCACACTAGTCCACTGCGCCACAGCCTCCCTGGTCAGTAGCAGTAGCAGTAGCTACTGACCATGCTACAGCAGTGAGTAGCAGAGGTGGGGCTATGGCTTCATCGTTATCAGGAAATGATCGTATAGGGCGTACACACGGAGCCGTTTGGCCCCCCAGAGCGTTCCGTTTGCAGATCTATCCACCTTGGGACCCGTTATCGTTTGCGGGGTCCGTTTCCGCGGTTCCGTTACGGCCTCGTGTGAATGAACGGGCTATACGCGAGAGAAAAGTAGCAGATACAACCCGTTTCGTTCTCGTGTAAACACCGCCTTAATTAAGAGTTTACAAATTCATGCACAAGATAAACAAAAGAAAACCTCACTTCTTAAGTGGAATAAGGAGCTAAGCTAACAACAATAGGCTGTTACAAAACACAGCATGGGGACAAGTTAACAGCAGTTAACGTTGTACTTAAGATACACAGATACACAGATATAGGCAGTGGAGCAATCCCATCCTGTGATGATGCATTTTACTGAATCAGCTTCCTCTTTGTGTAACTTTCATATCTGAATCATATCGCAACAACCCAGAAACAAAAGTGACCAAATGTGTGGGTCTTGGTTTGAAAGAACATATGGCTAATGGTCATGTGAGCTAATGTGTACACAGTCATTGTGATTCCCATTTTTATCAATGTCACCTAAATCCATAACATGTAAAATCTTGGTAATGTTTAGCTGGGTAAATATGGCAGAGGGAGTAGTATCCTGTGGCTACCGTTAAACAATAACTAAACCTCATATCTACTGTTTAATGTACGGACTCAGTCTTTGATCAAATGAATGCCACCAACATCATAGCTGAGAAATAAGGTGATTTGAGAGTATCCATAAAAAAGTGCTATGAATTTACACAATCAAATGGATACACATTTAATCTGAGGACACACCTGCAACACCATGGTAAGCTCTTGTCTTCCCAGTAAAAGGTTTATAAAAAAAGGTATATTAAACAAAATAAATAATGCTCCTTCTTTAAGACAATAGCATTTTTCTTAATGTGAAATTCAGGGTGTATTGCAGTGGTAGAACTGTTGTGTTTAGCTGTAAAAAGAGCCAGAAACCTTCATTGGATGAACTGTAACTGTCATCAGCCGTCAAAACCTTGAATCTGACAACCCATCTTTCCAATATTTTGCAAAGGTTTAGCACCTAGTGGTGTCTTTTTAAAATGAAATATCAGCCAACTATGAAGTTGAGTTGGTCTGTTGAAGCACCCTTGAGATGGACCCTAACCCTAAAGCTGCATTCACATGATACGCCATTTTCTCTTTGCTCACTGCGAGGTTGGGCGCAGAGTCTTGCTCTTACAAAAAGCTGGTAAAGTTTAGTTTCTTTGGTTACCTCCTCTGCTAGCTTGCACCGCTAAATATTGCTGTTATCTGATTGGTTTTGGGTTGAAAGGGCAGCGGTTATCAGGACAAAGTTGAAATAATTTGTACTTCAAACGCAGAACTGCTTAATAAGGAGATTTGGGGAGTCAATTATAGTCTTATGATAATGGGTCTCACTAAAAATGTCTGTTTCATACTCATTTCCTTCTTAAGTAAACTAAAAGGTTGAAATAATTTGAATTTTCTGCCTACATTTCGAGCAGCGTGCGACACCAAGGATAGCACCGCTCTCTCAATAGAAACACTTTCAAATATTAATAAAGAGAGCAATAACAAATGTCTTCATTATTCAAATATAAAGGAACAGATGAGCCTGCTGGAGACATCATGCGAGAGTCTTATCAGTCCAAGACGTGCATGTTGTGATGAAGCTGGTCTCTGGGCACTTAAGGCAAGAGGATTAGGCTCCAGAGTATTATTAGAGCTACTGATTATCCTCTAACCTGATGCGCTTAATTCTGACCGGGCCTATTTATTCAGCAGAAAGGAAGAAAAATGTCTGTATTGGGTTGCAGAGAGTGAATGGTCTCGTTGATTTGTCGAGTCCAACATTGACCCTTTTGGTGTTTTCTTCTGAACTCATTAGGTCCCGGCCTTTTGTCTCTGAGGGCTTCATGTGATTAATGCACTGAAGCAAAGACTTGTTTTAGTGCCAGCTGGGAAAGGCAAACAAAAGTCAATTGTCTCCAAATAGCGGCGAATAATACGTGCTCTCAAAGTCGACCAGTCCCTTGACTTATTGATGAATGAACGAAAGGCCAATATCGCCTCAAGAAAGTGCAACGAAAAGGTTTCCAATCCCTTCGTTCTCGAGTCTATCGCTGTAATATGTTTTCTTGGATGTTATTACACACCCACTGCTGCTGACCTTGTGCCAAGAAAACAGCTCTGCGTCCCAGACTTGAAGTAGAGAATCAAACGTGAACATGAGCTGGTAAATCCTGCATAAAAAACGTATCTTCCCGGGCATACACCAATGAATCAGAATCAAAGTAATGTGTTTTGGTGCTGTAACTCCTTTTTACTGTTTGCTCGGTAAGGATGAGACATGAGCAGACAAGCAGTTTGTCTTTGCTTTGAATAAACGAGCACAAATAGAGACTTTGCAGTTTTGGTTGGATGATGAGTGTGTGTGTTCCCGTATGATTCAATGTGGGTCTGTTCATGCACTATAAACCTCCCACAAAGTGTTGGGAAAACTGCCAGGGTCAAGCTTAACTGTCACCTTGTCAGCAACAATGTTCTGATACTGCTCGAGCTGATGTGAAAAACCAAAAGCCACCATGCCCAGTGTTATCTAAAGCAATTTGTTTGCAGGTTTCTTTTTACTCCAGCAAAACACAACACTGGTTCATTTCACACTTTTTATATTTCACAGAGCTTAAAGGACAGTCAATATTGGACTTGTGTTTGTTAGAAAGCCAGAATTACTTACTATGAATGCTAATTTGACTTCATGTCTGGAGATAAATAAACACTGAGCTCAAATAAACGTAATGAAAGAGACAGTTCAGCCCAAAATCCTTAATGCATACTTTCCCTCTTACTGGTGGAGCTAAATCAATGCAGATTTCTGGTCATATGGGATGTAGAAATATCTGCTTGCTCTTTAATGTAATGCAACTAGATTTCACTGGACTTGGGGTGTTCAGAAGCGCCAAAAACACATTGAAAAACATTTAATGTAGGAATTGTTTGTCCTTTAACCAAACTACATCCGGCAACCTTATCCCTGTGCAGAAGAGAGCGTGCATCTACTCAAAGATGATTGGCTGGTTAGCATATTAGCTAGCTCAGTGATGCTAGGTGAGCTAGGAGTATCGGATATCTCCTAATCTACCACCAGCTCACCTGAGACAGCTAGCATTAAAGCTAATTTTGAAATCATGAACCCTTTCCTACTTGAGTACTTATATGTAAGGGATAATGTGCAGCGACGCGGTCATTATGGGGTAAAGAACACCGACAGGCTGATCAGGAGCCCGACGCGAAGCGGAGGGATCTAGATCTGCATGCAGTTTGCTTTTCGGCCAAACTGTATACAGTTAAATCGAACGGACTTGTTTGTGCAGATGTGAGCGTCCTTAACAACGGTCAATAAGTCCTTGACAGCGGTCTGTCTGTTCTGGATTAACAACGTGTCACGTGTTCTGAATTGACCAATCAGAATCGAGTATTCAACTAAGCCATGTAATAAGCAGTGATAGTGTTGTTGACACCCAACAACACTATCACTGCATATAAGTTGAAAATGTAAGAAGTAAAAAGTCGTCAGAAAGATAAGTAGTGGAGTAAAGTACTGAAACCAGAAACTTGTACTTAAGTACAGTAACAAAGTATTTGTACTGCACTAGTTCCCACCTCTGTTTACAGTATATTAACAAACCCCAAAGCTATAACCTCTGATTGTCTCTTGTCGTTCCAGTGTCCAGGGACATGAAACTCAATCCACAGCAAGCTCCTCTCTATGTAAGTAGCACAACATATCATCTGTTTCACATTGTGTCTCTGAATGCTCACACACACACACAGTTCACTGTACATAGTTAGACCTCTGCTCAGGAGTGTGTGTGTCTGTGTGTGTGCACTTTTCCTCAGGGTTGCACCTGTAGGGGTGGACAGGTTACACCTTTATCATCCTCATTATTTATTTATATGGAGTTAGATGACCTAATGCAACCCCTAACCCTTCTATACCGTAGAAATGTAATGTGAATCTTAATCACTTTATCTTTTGGTATTATTATGTATTTATTTCAACGAGGACCGTGCATACAAATACATTGATCTCAGAAAAGAGAAGATATGAATTATGCCAGATTTGAGCTAATTTCTCATTTCCATCTGCAGTCCTTACATAACAATCAACACACACTAAGAACATTGCAGAATCTCTATCACACAAACTTAATCTGCCTTGCGTTTTTGGTCCTTTGTGTCTGAAATGATATACTGTATGTAATATAAATACCTTACTCTTATAAAAATAGGCATTGTGTAGACACCGCACAGTTTTTGTTAACTGTTTGTTTTGTTTTGGTTATTATTTTCTTAAATATATTTTCCAATTATATATTTTTTATTCTGGTTTCATTATTTCCAATTCCAAGGTCTGCATATTTTTAAGTATTAAAATGTATTTATCTTTTGAACGGATCATCATGCATTATTATATTTCCATTATGCATAAAAATACGATAATTCCTGGTACAACATATTGTCCAAGCAAGTAGTAGTAGTTATGGTGAAAGGGCTTATTATTATTTTTATTTTTATTAAGCGATTTCCACGCAACAAGGCTTATAGTTTCAAGGCTTTATTGTCATTTGCACATTAGCTACAGTGTATATGTCAATGAAAAACTGAAGTCACAGGCTCCTCCAACAGTGCAACATATATATATAGGACATAGAACAAATGGAAGAAAGAGAATGTTTTGAGATGTGCAAGTAACTACAAATAAAATAGAATAGTAGGCTGAGTAAAACCTATACAATGTAGCTTTAGAGTAACTCATGATGATAGAAATAGTCTTGACATTTAGTTTGGGTGCTGAAGTGGAGCAAACTTCCTCATTGTGTCGTCTCTGGTGAAGATTATCATGATATCAGCAGCATACAAATATAATCATTCCTGGTACAACATATTGTCCAAGCAAGTAGTAGTAGTTATGGTGAAAGGCCTAATTTGTTTTATTTATTTTCGAGTTAAAGCTATAAAATCTATCTTTAGAGTAACTCATGAGATAAATAGTCAGTGGATGCCATGGGAAGTCTTGAAATTAGTTTGGGTGTTGAAGTGGAGCAAACTCCCTCATTGTGCTGTCTTTAGTGAAGACTCCAGCCAGGGGGATCAACATCAATTTAAACTGCATAATGAGTTTCATCATTAAAAGCAGCTTTGGTGAGAATTCATTACAGTTTGATTTTGTGAGACACCGCCCTACCTGCAGAGTATTACAGTTGCAGGATGTGAAGCTTCACTCATATTTACATGTAAGAATAGGGGGCTGGGCTGCCGGCCTCCAGCTGTTCTTTTGATGTTGCTTAATAGATGCCTGTTCCCTGCTGAAAACGCCATGATTAGCAGGTCAATACCCCAGCAGGTCACTTTGTTAAGTACTTATTACCAGCAGAGAGCACAGTCATACGGTGAGGCTGAAAGACATCCATTTGGCTCTAAAAAAAACTCTGAATTATGTCGGACATGAGAGGATTTGTTTTGCATTTTATGTTTTATTATTTTATTATACCTATTGTGCAAAATCCACCTTTTCATGTCTCTTCTACATCAACATGTGTCCCCTCTTCTTCATGTCTCTTCTACATCAACATGTGTCCCCTCTTCTTCATGTCTCTTCTACATCAACATGTGTCCCCTCTTCTTCATGTCTCTTCTACATCAACATGTGTCCCCTCTTCTTCATGTCTCTTCTACATCAACATGTGTCCCCTCTTCTTCATGTCTCCTCTACATCAACATGTGTCCCCTCTGTGTAATGAGATTCTGAAAGTTTCAGGAAAAAGGTTCACTCTCTTTTTGTCCTGATCCATTTATATAAAAACCTGTCTGAAAATTAGCTGATCAGATTTTGGCCACTTTATGATGTCATAACGATTTTTTGGCTTGTGTAACCATTAGTGTAACCCCCCCCCCCCCCCACACCTTATCACCTGCATCTCCTCCTAGAACACCATTGTGTTCTTTTTAACCAAATATCTCTCAGAGGGGCGTGGGGAGGGGCTCCTTATTTTCATCTAAAGCTGGCTACACACCAACCCGATTTTGGGAGTCAGAGGCCGTCAGAGGCAGTCGGGCATTCGCGGCGCCCTACTCAGGTTGGTGTGTCCCGCACCGTCGTCTCTTTACGGCACCTTTTCACACCTCCCGACATGTTGAATCGGCCGCGGGAGGTCAGAGAAAGTCGGCCCAAGCAATCACTCTGATTGGCTGTTCACACTACCGCTGCCTGCTGGCAAGGACAGTTATTGCCACTCGTCGACTGAAGTATTTGCGGTGTGTTCGTAGGCGGGCGGCGTAGCCGACGCAGGCGACGTAGCTGACGTAAAAGTCGGGACGCCTTCGGTACGCGTTCTTTGGTCTCAGGTGGGTGTGTAGCGGCAGACAGAGAATCAGCACTTTGGAAACAGGGCTGAAACAGAGGGGATTATGGGATGCTGCAATGATCTGTTTGGTGTTTCAGCCAATCAGAGACAGGCTTTTTTTAAACATATTTCTATATATCTGAGACCTGTGATATATGCCTAAAAATAGCATAATAGGAGACCTTTAACATACAATGACATAAGATGGAACTTTATTTATCCCCTTGGGGAAAATCAGGCGTTTATAGCAGCAACAGGGTCAGAGTGAATAAAAAGGATTCACACAAGGTACAAATACAGACAACATAGAATACAAATTAAAATACTATTACAGCAAGTGATAAAGTAACTATTGAAACAGGATGTCACAGTAAAAAGTTGAGAATTGAATGAACATGTTAAATATATTTACATAAGTGTGCAGATGTTCAGCTCCTCAGCGTGTGTGTGTTTGCATGATTCACAAAGGTTGCTGAGTGCAGCTGTGTTTCCTGCAGATGTTTCACAGCTTTTGTTCCTCCTCCACCCCCCCGCCTACACATTCTCTTTCTAAAAGGACCAACAATGATCTTATTCTGCTGATAATCTATCCCACTCCTTACTCTCACTCTTTCTTTTCAAATACCACCGAAATCCAGAGATGGAAGATTGGTTACAAGCAATCAAAACTGAGCAGGATTCAAGGGTTTTATGTGTCGTATGCACAATAGACACAGCGTCGTTTTGGCAATGAAAATCTTCCGTCTGCAACATACGATAAACTAAAAAAAGAAATACGATAATACAATAGACAACATGGTTCAAGTAAGTTGCAGGGAAAATACAAATGTGTACGTAAAAATAGAACAAGATACAATTAAAGAAAGAATAGTGACTGCATATTGTAATTATATGTACTTATCTCGCCATAATTCTCGCCACAAATGTTTGTGTACAAATATGAACATAAGTGTATTGTGCCTCTTCACAGAGAGCAGGAGTTTATAGGTCTTATATCCTGTGAAGAAATCACATAAGTGTACCAGGATAAGTTAGGACAAGTTATGTAGAAACTATTTCATAACTTCAGTTCTAAAAAATAGTTGCATATGATGTTATGGATAATGGATGGATGTTCATTTTGACACATTGAGATACTGCCTTCAAAAGCTAATGTGCCAAAAGCAGCAGATTGATATTACGTGATTTGCCAAAAATCAAAAAAATCTAAATCTTCTCCTTTTGATATCTTCTGTAAATGTGAAACTTACTTTCACATTAAAACATTTTCATTAAAACACAGAGTGCCAGTTCACAAATCCACCGAGGCACCAGACCATTCAGAGCCACCAAACCTTCATATCCAATCAGTGCCGAGGATAAGAGATGAGTTTTTAACCCTCTTCACAGAGATCAGGAGTTTATAGGTCTTATATCCTGTGAACAAATAACAAATTAGGACAAATTAAGTAGAAACCTTTTCATAATTTCCAAAAAATAGTTGCATATGATGTTATTTATAATAGATGGATGTGAATTTTGACAAATTGAGATACTGCTGTAGTGCCTTCAAACACATTTTAGCAGCTAATGAGCCAAAAGCAGCAGATTGATATTATAAGAGATGAGTTTTTAATGGAGAGAGTGTCACACACATCTCCTCTCTAACGCAGCAGTGTTTGGTCTCAGCTCTCTGAAGGTTATGTCCCTCCTCTCGTGGCATCTGGACTATTTGGTCGCCTTGAACACATTTTCCCCCTCACATTGCTCAGCTGCAGCCAAACAGAGACGTGCAAATCCCAAGGCTGCTGGTTAGCCTCGCTGATATTAAAATCCCTCTCTGAGTTACAAGGACCTGAGACTACCCCCCTTTACCACCGGAGCATTTCCAGGGCCAGTGGCAGATTGTGGAGCAGATTTTGGTGATTTCACGCGAGCCATTCAAGATTCAAGATTCAAGGCTTTTATTGTCATTAGCACATTAGCTACAGTGTAGTTCTGACAATGAAAATCTGAGGTCTCAGGCTCCTCCAACAGTGCAACATGAATAAAATAGTGCAAGTAGTACAAATAAAATAGAATTAGTGTTTCCCACAGATCTGAAATATACTCGGAGGGGTGGTGGTAACGGGGGGGGGGGGGGGGGGGGGGGGGGGGGGATTTGAGGTAACAAGCCTTTGTGACGTGCAACAAGATTAACATTAACCTTTCTGTTGGTTGCTTGTTAGCAGACCCTTCACGCGATGGCAGAGCGAACAGGTACAGGCAGGGCCCATAGTGATAGCCCTATAGTTTACATCTACTACCCACAAATAAACATATGGACATGGGTTACTATTTAAAACAAATGGTAAATGTATTTAGGAACCTATCTATGTGATTTTA